GTAGGCCATGTGGGAGTCTAGTGCCTTAACCACAATGCAACCTCCTGAATACCCCCTCCTTCATGATTTTTAAAACTTAATAAAACAGGAAGAGATTTTTCTTAACATGGTAAAGATCATATACAAAAAATCCACAGCTGACATACTCAGTGTTAAAAAACTGAACGTATTTTAAGACTCTGAAGAGGAAGATCCCCACTTTCTCTCCCTTAGTTTCACTTAGTACTAGAAGTTATAGCCATAACAATTAGATAAAAACAAAGGAAAGGAAGAAAGAGAGTACATCTTTTGTATATCCTCATGCAAAAGAATGAAGTTGGACTATTTTATTACACTTTATACAAAAATTAACTCAAAGTGCATCCAAGACCTAAACATAAAAGCAAGGACTAAAACTTCTGGGAGAAAATAGAGAGAAAGATCTTCATGACTTTCGATTTGGCAATGATTTCTGGAATTGATACCAAAAGCAAAAGCAACAAGAGAAAAAGTCGATAAATTTGGACTTCTTCACAGTTAAAAATTTTATACATATAGGATGCTATTAACAGAATAAAGGCAGTCCTTAAAATGGGAGAAAATATTTGTAAATCTGATAAGCTATTAATATCCAGAATGTGTAAAGAATTCTGACAACAACAAAGAACAACCCAATTCACATATGAGCAATGCACTTAATGGACATTTCTCTAAAGAAAATATGCAGATAGCCAATAAGGACATGAGACAGTGCTCAGTGTCTTTGGTCGTTAGGAAAATGCAAGTCAAAACCACAGTGAGGACTAGGAGTTAGCGTAATGACTATGTCACTGGACTACCATGTAGTCGACCGTAGTTTGAGTCCTGGACCCGGTGGCTTAAACTCACATCAGGCACGTGTGTGTGTGTGCCCAAGATCCTGGGAGGAGAATGGAGGAGAAGGGATTGCAGTGTGGCCATCCCCCCGGGGGTGATTTCTTGCTTTCTGTCTCTGTCTGTCTCTCTCTCTCTGGCAAGTACACACACCCTGTAGCAAAAAAAATGTGGAAACAACCCACTGTAAATGGAATGGATAAATAAATGTGGCATATATAGAGAGAATGGAATATTATTCAGCCATAAAAAGGAATGGAATTCTAGTTGCAACACTGATGAAGCTTTAAAACAGTATATTAAATAAAGTAAGCAAAAGTAATAGAGAATGGAATATTATTCAGCCATAAAAAGGAATGGAATTCTAGTTGCAACACTGATGAAGCTTTAAAACAGTATATTAAATAAAGTAAGCAAAAGTAATAGAGAATGGAATATTATTCAGCCATAAAAAGGAATGGAATTCTAGTTGCAACACTGATGAAGCTTTAAAACAGTATATTAAATAAAGTAAGCAAAAGTAACAAAAGGAAAATATTATACTTGTATGAGGTACGTGGAATGAGAAAAATCATTGAGACAGAACTTAATAGAGATTACGAGGACCCAGAAGGTGACCATGCTCTCTTTTAACTTTGTATTTGTGTTTATGTTTTTATAGGGTTAATGCCTCTGGGAAGTCAGGAGTCTTCGGACAGTCTGGCCGCAGAGATCGTGACCCCTGAAATCAGGTGAGGAGATGCTCAGTCACAGTGCACCGTATTTCTGGAGAAAACTTACTCTCCGATACGGAGGGTCAGTGCCTTCTTCTTTGTAGCTGACCCTTCAACCTGAACTCTGTTAAATTTCCATGTTTTCAGCATGTTTGAAGCTTTCTTCAAATGGCTCAGAACTGACTTCCTCACTTTAATACAACAGTGCTTTGGCCCAGTTGCAGTGGAGCACAAGGCCGTTCTGCCAGGCTGGAGGCTGTGCAGGAGTCTGGGGTTTGACTCTCGGGTTGATCCAGGCATAAACAGACACACGTGCGAACTTGCCCACAGGAGAGTACAGCGTGATGAGCCCTTGTCAGAGATGCTTCTCTGTCTCTGACTCACTTGTGAGAGAAATTAATTAAAAAAAAAAAAAAAAAAAGAATAGTCACACAAAGAACAAACTAATAGATCTTGGGCTTGGATATCCTCTGCAAACATTTAGCCATGAAAACATTTGGCCCCAAGACAAAGATTATGCTTATCTATCAACCTGCAAAATAGTTACCAAGATTTGTCCACTAACCACACAGAATGGTCTGGAAAGATAAAATGCTGTAGACAGGAGGAAATCTTTCCTCATCACCTACTATTTGTAATCAGTAATTTTTTTTTTTTTTGGAGAGGTTTTTTGCTGTAGGGTGCGTGCGCTCGCCAGACAGACAGAGAGAGACATAGAGACAGAAAGCGAGAAATCACCCCCCAGGGGGGATGGCCATGCTGCAATCCCTTCTCCTCCATTCTCCTCTCGGGATCTTGGGCATGCACGCACACGCGCCCGGCGTGAGTTTTAAGCCACTGGGTCCGGGACGCAAACCGCAGTCGACTACGTGGGAGTCCAGCGACATAGCCATTACACTAACTGCTGGTTCCCAGTAATTCTTTAATTTTTATTTAGTCATAACATTTTAAAAATTCCATTTATTTCAATACATGCATATTTTATTTATAAAAATGAAAAAGCATATGGAGGAAGTACCAAGTATACAGCAAAAGAAGAATGATTAATTTTCAATATTACTCTTATCTTTTCTGAGCCTATTTCCTTCTTTTGGAAATGGACACTGGCCTTAATTCTTTAGAACGTCCTCAAGGGTATTAAATGAAAAAATGGTTATGTAAGAGTTCTATTAACAGGCCAGCCAGGTGGCATGGTGGTGAAGGAGGCTGGATCCCACGTGACTGGCTGTACAGTTCAAGTACTGTACCCAGCGGCTTGGAAAATATGCCGGGGATATATTCATTATGCATGCCCAAAATCCTGAGAGGAGAGTGGAGGAAAAGAGACTGTGGCATGGCCACTCCTTCCCCGGGGGTATCTCACTTTCCCTCTCTTTTACTCTGTTTCTCTCTCTCTCTCTGGAGAGTGCACACGCCCTATAGCAACAGCTTAAAATTTTATTAACTGCGAAGTTAAAATGAGCATTTAAATATTTGTGGAATAAATGAAGACTGTTTGTTGGCACTTGTTTATAAAGTACAAAGAGAAGTATAGCATAATACTGTGAAAACATTTACCTTTTACTTTTCTACCATCCAGTATGCGACTTTATAATTGAAACAATAAAATTAGCTGAATGAACACATTAATATTATTTATGCATATCTGTATATAAATGATTATGTCCCTCAGAGAAGACTGGCATCATATTGTAATGCAGCTGGCTTTCCAAACTAAGAACAACGATAGAGTCAAGAAAAACGTTCTTCCTGAGTATGGTTAGATAACAAATTAAAATATGTTCCATGTCCAGAGGAGCTTTCAAGAAAATGAAATGATATCTTAGGGATGAAAATTTTGCAGCGTGTGTCTTAGGCAGTGGGTTAATATTTGGTACTTACCTTTGATGTTAAAGGTGAAGACAATTGGAAATCTCATAAACTAGGGGCAAAAGATTAAAGAGGCACAAATTCCTTTTTTTTAGTAGATTGGCAGAGTGTATCTACAAATACTTCTATCTTTTCAATTCAAAATTACTTTTCTGGGGCACTGATCCTAGGGAAATAACCAAGGTTGTACTCAAAGATATACTTATAAAGCTGGTCACTATGAGCGTACTAAAGCTAAAAATTGGTAACAGTCTAAATGCCCATTTCTTAGGGCCAGCAAGTGGCATGGTAATTGAGTGCACTGGACTCCCACATAGCTGATCGCAGTTCAAGTCCTGGACCTGGCGGCTTACTTTCTCTCTCTCTCTCTTTCACTCTCTCTTGCTCTCTGGGCAAATTAAAATAAATAAAATAATTCTTTTTTCTTTTTTGGAGAGGTTTTTGCTATAGGGCGTGTGCACTCGCCAGACAGACAGAGAGAGACGTAGAGACAGAAAGCGAGAAATCACCCCCCAGGGGGGATGGTCACACCACAATCCCTTCACCTCCATTCTCCTCTCGGGATCTTGGGCATGCACGCACACGCGCCCAGTGTGAGTTTTAAGCCACTGGGTCTGGGACGTGAACCGTGGTTGACTACATGGAGTCCAGCGCCATAGCTATTATGCTAACTGCTGGTCCCCAATAATTCTTTTTTTTTATAATTCCCATTTCTTATTAAGTAAGTAATGATTCACTTACGTAGTTTAACACCATGCCATTTAGAATATTACAGTATAGGGACCAGCAGATGGTGAAACGATTACATTACTGGACTCCCACATACTCGACTACAGTTTGAGTCCCAGGCCCAGCAGCTTAAAACTCCACTGGGTGCATATGTGTGCATACCCCAATTTATTTATTTATTTATTTATTTTTGAGAAGTTTTTGCTATAAGGGCGTGTGCGCTCGCCAGACAGAGAAAGACAGAGAGACAGAAAGCAAGAAATCATCCCCCAGGGGGGTGGTCATGCCACAATCCCTTCTCCATTCTCCTCTTGGGATCTTGCACGCATATGTGCCCGGCATGAGTTTTAAGCCACCGGGTGCTGGATGCAAACTGCGGTCGACTACAAGGGAGTCCAGCTACATAGCCATTACACTAACTGCTGGTCCCCATACCCAAAATTTTGAGAGGAAAATGGATTGAGGCATGGTCATCCCTCCTGGGGGGTGATTACTTACTTTCTGTCTCTCGATCTCTGTCTCTCCAGTGAGCACAAGCACCCTATAACAAAAAAATCTCTTTAAAAAAATAAAAGGAATATTATAGTATAATATTTAATGATAGGAAAACTTTGTGAAATTTTAAGTGTAAATGTTTCTAATATAACATGTACTTGTGTGACCCGGTTTTTCCAAATGGCTGATGCATGTACATAGACAGCACCAGATGGCTGTACTTTAACAGCAGTTCTTTTGTACCTAGAGTTATGGAGGATTTGTATTTCATTTATCTTTGTGTTTCCCTATAATGAGTGTGTTTACTTCATAATTAAAAATATGAAGTCAGTATTGCCATATACAAAATATATCGATGTTCTAAATAACTGCTTGAATTGGGTCACAAATTTGACTCATTTTTCATTAACAAAAATAAAAGTATTGTATAAGATCTATGTTATTTACAAAGTAAGAACAGATTTTTGTGGGTATGTGTTTTTTGTTTTGATTTTTCTTTTTCCACGAGTACAGCTTTTTATATATCTGGTGTCTGACAGTACTGTCTTCAAGGGTCCCTCTAAGGAGGACCCTATGTAAAGAATGAATTATATCTTCAACAGTTGACACTTGAGATGAATTAGTATTCAGTTACATCATTCCTGCAGTAAACATGGTAGCACACTCTATGTGGCTATTGCTTTAAACATCCCTCATTGTAAACTTTTGGTATTATGCAAAAAGCCCAAGATAACAAGAGTAGCATTAGAGAGCATAGTTTCTGATGAGAACCAAAGAACAAATAAATAAATGCGTGCATAGCGTAAGTATGGAAGTCAGAAAGAAAACAGTATTTTGAAATCTTGTTCATTATAAGTCATGTTATTTAGAGACTCTGTTGTTTTCATATTATCCATTAAAGAAGTAATTATGGCTTGAAGTGGAGTGTCTCCACCAGTTATAATAGGAGCTAAATTAATTGCAGATACTTTATTTTTTGTTTCTGTTCTGTGTATTCAATCTGTAACTATACTTAGCTGTATTTTAATACTTCTGTTGTATTAGTATACCAGACAATGAATTTTTATTTTGCTCATTTAGGGAGAAACTTATTCGTCTTCAGCATGAGAATAAGATGTTAAAACTTAACCAGGAGGGTTCAGACAATGAAAAAATTGCCTTATTGCAGAGCCTCTTGGATGATGCAAATCTGCGCAAGAACGAACTGGAGACGGAGAACAGGTAGAGTATGTGTAGGTGGCGGTGTGGGGCCACAGGCTGTTCCTGTCTGCCTGATTCTTTAAGTAGAAGTTGGATTGTATTTTGAAAAGAGATCGTGTGCCGTTCGGTTTCCTTTTAAGAGTACTTTAATCCATTACACAACTTTTGGACAGACTTGCAAAAAAGTATCATGTCTCTTTATAATAGTTCCACCCTCTTTATTTCTTCAAGCAGAATGATAACAAAGCTCTTCCAGTTACCATTTCTAATCACTAATTAAAACTAGAGCATTAAAAAAAATCGAACATTAATCTGTAGTCTTTCACAGCCATTTCAACCATAGTCAGTATCACACTGAGTTACCCTCGCCTATTATTTCAAAGGATCCAACCGTATGGGGAGCTCATCAAGATTTATCACTGTTAAATGGCAGGAACTTTTTTTTCTAATCTTTTATTTTTTGTGCCATTAATTCATTTTATGAACAATTGTTTTGAGAATTTAGAATGTGCATATTTAACAAATCATTTTTCTTTTGTGTGTTCCCAGTGTATTGCCTTAAGTAGTCATTTAAAGTCAGTTACTTTAAAATCAGTAGCTTGGGTCCAGAAGGTGGTGTGATGGTTAAGATGCTGGACTCCCACATCACCAACCACAGTTCAAATCCCGAACCTGGCAGCTTACTTTTTCACTTTCCCTCTCTCTCTCTTTTTCTTTTTCTCTCTCTCTCTCTGGTAAGCACACATGCCCCATAGCAAATTTTAAAAATAATAATAAACAAAATTAAATAAATAATTCTTTTTTTAAAAACTAGTCGCTTACTCTGACAGAGTTTACTTTTATATTTTATTTAGATGGTCTTTTTTTCCTTTTTGGAAATGATTCTTAGATGCCAAACATACACTGTTTTTCCTTTTTCTCACTACTGTGATATGTTGTCATTTTTCAGGGATTTGACATTTTATTGGTAGTTTCACAGTTTGCATTATATTACACATTCTGTCTCTATTGTGCCTGATTGACTTGTCATTTCCAAGATTAAAGTCTCTCTTGTAATCAAAATTGTTAGGAATTTTTGTATAGCCTACCCTTCTTCCTATAACATTATATTTTAAAGCTACTAAGAATCAGCAAACAGTATAAATTAGTAGGAATACCAGTGTGATTATAAGAGCACCATTAGGCATAATCAAAGGGGGAAAATTTTACATCAACTTTTAGGAGCATAGTGAATGAAAGATTTTTAAAAGTACTCAGAGCTCTTCCTCTTCTCCTAAGTGGCCTGAGGTGGTCTTTGAAAATGGTTCACGATTCATTTTGACAAGGTCTCAAAGTCTTGCAAATCAAGAGGTTCAAATCTTCATGTTCACTTTAAGAATGCACATGAAACTGCCCAGGCCACCAAGGGTGTGCCTATCTGAAAAGCCACCAAGTATCTGAAGGAAACCACTTTACAGAAGCAGTGTGGATCTGAAGGATGTCACTTTACAAAAGCAGTTTGTGCCATTCCGTCGTTAAAATGGTGGAGTTGGTAGACGTCCCCAGGCCAAACAATAGGGCTGGACATAGGGTCGGTGGTCCAAAAAGAGTGCTCATTTATTAAAAAAAAAAAAAAAAAAAAAATTTAATTCAATAATGCTGAACTAAAGGGGTTAGGTGTAGATTTTCTGGTTATCGAGCACATTCAGGTGAAGGAGGCAGGCACCCAAGATGCGCCGTCATATGTACAGAGCTCCTGGGTGGATTAACCCATATGTGAGCTCCCCCTGCGCATTGAAGTGATCCTCACTGAAAAAGAGCATATTGTCCCCAAGCTATAAGAGGAAGTTGCACAGAAGAAAAAGATATCCCAGAAGAAACTGAAGAAACAAAAACTTACGGCACAGGAATAAAGTCAGCGTAAAATAAATGTAGATAAAAGTGAAAACAAAAACAACTGTACCTAGAAAAGATGGAAAGTGGAGAAGGGAAGGAAGAGTAGAAAACATGCAGTCCCTGTGATGAAAGCATCTCTTGAATCCTTCACCTCTGGGTTTATTTTTTAATAATCTTGGTTAGGAATGCCTCTCCTTACCCTTTTTTTTTTTTTTTTGTAATGAAGAAACACCCACAGGCCCAGCACAGTGACACAGGTGGTCGGGCTCTGCTCCACAAGCCTGGGGCTGCATGGGAGGCTTGGGTTTGGTTCCCACACCAACCTAGTCAGGCTAGGCATGGTGGCACATGCCTGTGGTCCTGGTTGGCCACAAGGCTGGGATGGAAATCCTGACTTGAGACCTTGACAAAAATACGTTTCTCTCATCTCTCATTCTCTCCTTCTCCCTTACTCCCTCTCTCTTTCTCACTTGAAAAAAAAAGGAAAAGAAAAAGAAAGAAACAAAACACCCACGACTTCCTTTGTAGGCTTTGCATTGTTTCTTGCATACATCACAACTACAGCCCAGGACAGCTGGTTGTCATGTGCATGGCTCTGGTGAACGTGGGGACTGATGACCTCCCAAGTCTGCGTCTCATTTACAGCTGTTCCCAGCGTGCCGTTGCATTTGTTTCTTCGATTACAACACTGATGATAACTTACTTTTAGATTATGGCCACCTATGACCTATAACAATAATGATATTAACAGCTAATACTTATTAAGCACTGTTTGTTCCAGGGAGTGTGCTGTTTTAAATATATTGTTTTACTCATCTTTACAAAAGTTTTCCAGATGAGGGCACTTGGACTCAGACAAGCTGCCTGACTCCAGAGCTACACCCCAGCCTCTCTTTCTTGACAACCTGTCTTCCACTGTTTTGCGAGACATGTATTCTTTTTCTTCTCATAGCATGCTTTTTCTCTTAAGTTTGTTCTGAGTTGTGTAACCTTGTATGACCTGTCTCCACCTTCATCTCGCTCCATTTTTCAGGGCACCTGCATGTGAAGCCCATTGGCTCTACTGCGTTACTTAGACACAGCGTGCCTTCTCCCCATGTCAGCTGTTAGAAGGCAGACTTTGGAGTAGATCTGAGTCCTTCCAGTCACTTTTCCCTTAGTTAGCATTTTAGAACACCAGTAACAGCTGCCAACCCTCAAACAGTGTTAGGAAAGGGATGAAGAGTTGAGAGTGGAGACATAACAGAATGCCCAGTATAGGATCTTGTTCCTTTACCACCTGATACCCCTTGACAGCTATGTGTATTCAGTAATTAGACTTTGATTAAAATGTTAGCTGACTAAATCCCCAAAGGGAGGGAAAGAAGGTAGAAGACATTCACCTTTGTAGGACACCTGCTATGCACAGGTGCTGCTCTGAACACACTTCACCCCCCCACCTGCTCCTCCAGATAGCCTCATGAGGTAGACGTTTGTTTTGTAGATGAACTTTTTCTCATATATATTTACAATATTTATGTTGCTCACTTACGTTCTATTTCAATAGTTTTATCACCATATATGCTCAGTTCCCATTGCTGGGCATTTGAGCTGTTCTCAGATCCTTCTGAAGGACATCTTGGTATGGACTGATTGTATTTCATCATACTTAGCATGGCCTCTGTGTAGTAGGCTTACCATATTGGCTGATGAAATAACCTTAGAAATTACTAAGGTGGACCCAGCTGCAATGGTGCAGGTGTTAGGGCACTGCTGTCTCTCTTTCTGGCGAGTGCACGCACCCTATAGCAAAACAAAACAAAAAACCACTACTTTAGAAATCATCACTCCATATAAAATATTATCAGAGCTAGCCTAGTAGCATGGTGGTTAAGGAAGCTGGATTCCATATGACCAACCAAGGTTCAAATCCTGTCCCCAGTAGCATGAAAAACATGCTGGGCATGTGTGTGTGCATGCCCAAAATTCTGTCAGGGTGGAAAAATGAAGGAGAAATGACCATGCCCCATAGGGGTGCTTTCTCTTTCACTCCCTTCCTCCCTCTCATTCTCTTCTCTCTGTCTCCAGTGAATACATACTCCCTCTGGCAATTACAAAAAATAATAATAAAATCAGAAAAGTGAGCTCTGGTACTCATGATAGAAGGCCACGACTATATTACTACTACAGGGTGCCTTCGAAAAGTCTATGGAAAATGAGTATTATGGAAAAAGTATGCATGGATTTCAAAACTTTTTGCACCAGAATAAACCCATACTGTAATGTCACTTTCCATGAACTTTTTAAATTTCTCTCATGCTATCATAACGTGAAGCTTTACTTGGCTAATTATACTTTCTATCTAACTAATAAAAAACCTGAAGAAAAAAGGTATACATAAGTCAGGATATGGAAAATTAATGTCCATTTAATTTCTAGGCTGGTGAATCAGAGACTTCTGGAAGTACAGTCACAAGTTGAAGAGTTGCAAAAGTCTTTACAGGACCAAGGCTCAAAAGCAGAAGATGTAAGTTTTCTTACACACAAAGGACCAATGATTTCACAGTGTGGAGAACAGCTATTGACTTCTTTTTTTATTTGGTGGTCTCTATCAAAATAATGTAGCATTATATTGGTTATAGGAAAGAAACAGTGTTTTCTTCTTTTACTGACATTCCTTATAAAAAGGACCAGACAATACGTTATTGTCCCTTTCAGATTCACTCTGCTGGGAGTTAGATGTTCAGTCCTAGTTATCAGCTAGGGAGTTAACTGAGGCTATGCATTTCAAATGTACTCAGCTCAGCATTCAAAGTTGAAGTAAAAGATATCCCCTCTCTGGTCAAAAGGAAAAGAAATGCTAGTGAAAACTTGGCATGCTCAAGCAGAAATTTTTAATGTAAATTGAGATTTAAGAAGATAATACCGAGAGTGCCCCCATCTCTAAGTTTCAGGACCACTCTTGCTCGTCCCCTCCCTGCACACTGACCCTCTTCTGCACGTCCTTAGCGCTCCGGCCGCCTCTGCCACAGCTCTCCTGCTCCGTGGGCACACTCGCTCACATAGAATACGCGGTCCTGCGCTGTGCCGAGGACGGTGGCTTCCTTCTCCTCAGCATGCTAGCCTTCTGTCAGTGCTTGTATGCCACGTAGTAGTCCATCGATCTCTGGAAAGAGTGTAAATAAAACATATTTTGCAAATTCTTAACATGTACTAAGCAATATACAATATAGCTAAGACTTACGAAGTGTTCAAAAATAGTGTTAAGAGGGGAGAACTAAATTTTGATAAACTGTTCTTAGCTTTAACCAGCTAATTTTTTTTTCCTGTTGCCTGTGTATTTGCTGTATACCCAGATTTTTAAGTATAAATTATTTTATTGTTTCCACTGATAATCATTGTAGAGGATCAGTTTCAAAAATACAGAGAGAGCCAATTCCATCGAGCTTCATTAACACGTAAGGATTGGTATGGGGCGCCAGGGGCTGGCAGGTGTTGTGGTAGTTAAGGGCTCTGGACTCCCACACGACTGACCATGGTTTGAGTCCTGGACCTAACAGCTTCCTTTCTCATTTCTCTCTCTCTCTCCCCTCTCCCCTCTCTTTCCCTCTCTGGTCAAATCTAAAAGAAAGAAAGAGAGAAAGAGAAAAAGAGAGAGAGAAAGAAAGAAGGAAGAAATTAATTAAAGAAAGAAAGGATGAAAATAGTAATTCTTTTAAAAAAAGGAATAGGGCTCCATGTCTTGGTGATTAAGGCAGCTAAATCCCTCATGGCCAACCACGCAGTTCAAGTTCTGGCGTCTTGAGAAACACACCAGGCATATGTGTGTGCATGCCCAAAATCCCAGAAGGAGGGTGAGTTGGAGGAGAGAGGGCTGTAGTGTGGCTCTTCCACGTGGGGGGTGCCTTCTCACTGTCCGTCTCTGTTGCTGTCTCCAGCACGTGCACATGCCCTCTAGCAAAAAACAAAACAAAACAAAACAAAAAAACAACTCATAAAGAAATAAAATCAAAAGTGACCAAAGAAGGAATGGTTAATACAGTATATCAGATATAGAAAGCCCACCAGTGAGCTAATTTTACCAGTTTTCCCAAACATCATCTCAATATTGGCAGTATGGCCTTTTGTCTAAGATTAGTGATTTTAGTTTATTTCTTAATGTGTTAGGAGTCCTTAGATTCCCAGGTTAATTCTCAGTTATTACCAGCATTTAAACAACTTTATGCTTTTATAAGCTATAACTTAGTATGAAATGTCATGTTCTTTTAAACAAACAAACAAACAAACAAAAACATGTTTTATCCAGTGACCCGATCTGGGACTCAAACCTCAGTTGGCAAAGTGTGAGTCCAGTGATGTAACCATTATGCCATCTGCTGGTCCCAAGGGGTAAAATTTCTTAATTCAATGAAATCACTAGGTCGATTTGAGATATATAAAATTCATTCTGGTCTCTAAATCTTGGAGGAGACCTTTTGTTGATTTGTTATGGTAGGAAAGGGAAGGGCAAAATACCACAATCAGTTAAGCCTTAATGTTCCAGTGATAACCATTGTGCTTCATTCTCTTACAGAAAAATATCAATAAAGGAGTTTATTTGTTAAAAAATATTTTGGCATAGCCTGATCAGGTATCACTGTGGTAATAAAGTCTAATGGAATATGCATGGGCTGCTACTTCAAGGGAACATATTTCAAAGCGAGACGCCAGCTCTGTCAAGTACTAATTGTGTAAATTCATCAGCCGATTTGCCCAGATGCTAGCGAGATGTCTTGTACACTGAGCATAAATTCTTTCTGAGCTCTTTTCTCTGTGTGGGAAAGATTCAGATAGAAACCGCCCTTTATTCTGAAGCTCTGCCTTTATTCTGAATCGTTTAGAGAAGTAATTAGTGTAGTACAGGGCATGTGGCTCTCTCCCCTGCAGGCTTTTGTTGTACTTTTCTTGGCCACTAACTACAGTGTTGCATCTCAGGAATACGTGGTCATACATAGAACAGCTTGCCTGATGGACTGGTCCCCTCTGAAGAACAGCATCGTTTCTGCCTGTTTCTGTTATCAAAAGCACAGTCTTTTCATGTGACCTTAAGTCAGAGTAGGATGGTTTGCACTTTTTTATTATTATTTTTATGTCATTTGTTTTTAGCATGGAAGCAGAAAAGCATTGTTATATCCAGTCATATGGATAATTTGAGCTAGCCACAGTATGTAATACTCCAGAGAACAAGACAGGATGAGGAGAACGTAGAAGAAAGAAAAATGCACATTTCTGAAAAAAAAATGCACATTTCTGAAAGAAAAATGCACATTTCTGAAAGAAAAATGCATATCTTTTGCTTCTGTTCATGAATTACTAAATTGTTCCCTCTGTTGCCTGCTGTGTTTGCTTCATACTAATTTGTCCTCTCTGTCTCTTGGCATGGTTTCTGCTCAAGGCTATTGTAAGTATGGCTTCGTGTTCTTTTTTATATATTGAACAGTTTCTAGACTTATATATTATCTGCCATCATAGTTGATAGTATTAAAATTTTAAATTGAGGCACTTTTATGCAAAATGAATATTCTAAGATCATTTGCCTTATAGGCTTATAGCCTTTACAAGTAAGATACGTAAAGGTATCAAAGTCTCAAGAGGTCAGACCGAAGAGAGGTCCGCTCCTGGTCTTTCCCACCCGCTCCTGCTCTACCCCATTACTGTAATGGGCCTGTTCATAGAAATGATTTGACTGTGGCTTCCTATTGCAGTTGGCTTCCTCCTGCCGTGTAGTTTATGGTAACATACTTAGTCTGGAGAGGCCTCACAGCACAGAGAGCAGGAAAGTGAAGACCATGCTGGACTGTGCAGTCTGGCAGGTCCGAGTTCTCATTTTGGATCAGCCACTTGAAAGCTATAAGTGGTCGCCAGCTGCACCTTCCTCAGCTCTCTCATGGGGCTAATGAGGGTATTTCAATAAGTTTATGGAAAGTGGAAATAAATATGAGTTTATTTTGGTGCAAAAAATCTTGAAGCTCGTGCATAGTTTTATTTCATAGTACACATTTCCCATGAATCTCCTGAAGACCCATCGTATTACACGTAGTGAGGCTAACCTAAGGGAATGCGAATGGCATGCCCTAGTACAGGGCCTGGCGTCTTCCCCGCCTGTTCAGTGACCTCATCGTAGATTATCTCCCCATTGTGCATATACTGTCGTTCCCGTACATTGCTTATTTGCAACTGTGCATATTCATAAATCACTAAGTCAGTGTTTGTGGAAATTGATCCAAGACTATCATGATGCAAGGAAAACGATAAGCAGATAAAAAGTTTCTTAGGAAGAGTCTGTCATTACTAGAATCCTACCTGTGGATGGAGTCCAGGAATACTAGGTCTATACTGAGTGGCTTTCTAATTAATCTCCCTGACTATAAATAGGGAATTTGGCATCTATTTTCTAGATGCGTTATACTGATTGCTATAACTGTTAGCTGC